ATTCCGTACTTCCCCGAAGAAGACAAGAATAAATAGAAATTCAGGTACATTCATCTACTATCTACAAGTCACTCCAAACGGATGTTAAACTAAACCCCAACAACGTGTTTCTTGCTATCGTCCGAAAGGTTGTGACGTTTGTCCGATCCAATATTTTGCAAGCACTAAAACGCCGTTAAGCGTCCATCGAACTTACAGGAATGCATGGACGGTAGCTGGCAAAATCTGCTAGTTGTGGAGTTTTTTCATGCACCACGCACTAGAAGGCCAGAGTGTCTTCACATTTTCTCCATGCAGTTTTCTACCACCTTTTGATAGATTAGCAATTCAGCTGCCAGAGTTGGAGGGTTAACTAGTCCTGGCACCTAGGTATAGCTACATTGATAACTGGGCCAAATTATGAGCTGGTTGGGATCGTGCATTCTAACGACTTTCAGAAACTGTCAGCTAGCCTGTGATATCAGCAAGTCCTGGGTTTTTTGGCAGCTTGGAAGAAGCAGAGTTGCACGTCAGTTTGGATTTTGCTAGGTGTACCAAAGTTTAGTCCTTCTGCCTGCAAATGCTGTTGCCAGTTTTCTTCAGCGGCAGGTTTCAAAGACATCGATAGGTCAGAGAGGTCGTTGTAAATCTTATGGAATACCGGAGGCTGATTCGGTGGTTTTCAAGTGACGGATGTTGCTGTTGACAACGATCACAGCGCAATATAGTCGCCAATTCATAGCTTTCCGTGTTGTTTCGTTGATCAGAAGATCTATAACTTCCCAAACAACGTCTGATTCTCCAAACACTTGTTGTACAGCTTGCAATATGACTGGGTAATAATGGAAATATTTTCTGTGGTGTGCGACAACTTCCAGCCAGGCGTTCCAGCGAGTCATGACAAGTGCGGGTGGGCCAGCCGAGTTATGCACACCTTCCTGATATAGATATTCAATGTAGACACGTTCTTTCTTCCCGAAAGACTAAGAGCACTTTTCATTTTCGTAATGAATCCGTCGACTTCCACAGCGAATTGGCGAAGGGTTTCCACAATCAAACTTATACAATGGGCAGCATATCATGAACCATGAACAGTGATTTATCACAGGTAAAGGGGGCTTGGCAATTCATGCTGGATGGTATGGGTGAAACCCCCAAATCAAAGATATGTGAGTTATCTGTTTAAGCTTCTATCGAGCAAATACGCTGCTGAATAACAGTAGTGTAACAGAAGGATTGAATACAAACAGCAAGATAACGTGGGGGCAGTTACAGCTGATGCATTACATGAGAAAACTAAAAACGGGAATACTCACTCATGTACCGCCTCCTTAGGACTATGTGACACATAAATCCGGTTGAAAACTATGATTGTTATATTCCAAAGTGGCAGAGTTTAGTAACCGAAGTGATGGGGGCCAAGGTCAACATCCAATCGTTTTCGAAAATATCCATTGTGAGGGAGAAAACAACAGAGTCTGGAAGATTTGGCAAACACACATTCCAGACGGATGAATTGTTCTCGCACTTTCAAGCAGTTGCCTCTGAGCTTAGTGTAATGCCTGAATTTCGGCAAGTGGTGGCATGCATACTTGGGGTAACTCACTATCTGGTACACTAAAATGAGACTGCTACGTAGCTTTCGGTGTGTCCGATGCAAATACACAGCAACTTCAGCCTTCGTTGATAACGGCGATTGCGTAGGTCCTTGACATTCGTTGTTGTCCTACGTTTTAGTGTCTTTAGCACTTGTAGATTGCGCTAGAGCCAAAGTTGCCAAGGTTGTATGGCGTATTCAACGTGAGGGCACACCTAGGTATTGTCCACCACTAGGAAGATTGATGGGTCAGCTCTCCCGAGTACCATTCCCAGCAGGCCGACGGACTTGCCTCAGAATGTTCCGAACAGTTGAGGTCATAATACTCTTTGACGATACCCTGACACAGTAACACTACGTACTATAGCCCATGACCATCAGATGATGACATTCATGCACAACAAACTGTGGACGGTGTCATAATAATCCTAAACTCCAGGCCAGAATACTCGCATATGTCCTAATGTAAAATCCTTTGGTGAGTTTTGTATCTCGCGCGTGCTTTTACCGAGACTATATTTTTTAGTTTTACTTGTCACCCTAATCATTCCATGAGACTTAGCAAGCATGTGCTTTTACGCCCGTTAAAAACCATTGACACAATGTTTAAATTAGTATCAGACCGATAAGTTAAATGAGGTCCCAACACAATTTCCGATAAATCAGCCTATGGGAGTGCTGTGTTCTTTTTGACGGAATATTTACACCACTGAAGACCAGAAATGATAGATAAACTAGAACCTGGTTAACTTCTGGATTATTTTAATGAAGTATATTTATAAAATTATTTGCGCAAATCATTATCAAACAAGGGATGTAGGAATTTCAGTCCAGACGCTTGTGTGATACACAGTATCGGGGAACGCGTATTGGGGTCGAACGATCAGTCCATAAGTCAATCGATTTATAACCTTACCCAGTGATTCAATCACGTTATCTAACTAAAACACGTAACGCAAATATAAACGAACGAGTGCCGGAGAAAATAAGTACTGTGACAACTTTCTCCAAAGCGTTTGAACGAAGAGCAGCATCTGTTTGAGTTTTATGGCCTATACCGCTTGTTTGAGTCGTGGGATGCCGTCTCGACCTGGACTATTCTTTACTTCGCACAGTCAAAGTTGTCTAAGGCGGCCACTCAAGGGACCGACAAAAAGTGGTCGCTTTGGATAGGTGTTCGTTATAGACAGGTTAATGCACAGGAACAAAACTCATAGGAGAAAATTTTGGAGATGTAGTTGGTTGGTCGCCATAGCAAACTGGACTGGAGAAGAGACTACCTATTCCTATAGCTCGGACCGCAACGGAATCAGGGACATATACAATGCAACTGACTACAAACATTGCATCGGAAAGAAATGTTTTGCCAGTGGAGAGAAATACGGAACACCTTCCTATCTGTGCATAACTTACAGCAAAATGGTCAGGGACAGTCGGACAAAGTCAAGCACCTCGGTGACCACGTTCGATTAATTAGTTACAAACCGTACAACCACCTTAACTTGAACGCCTAAATCCAGTAACAAAACGCCAAATATCAGCGGCGAGTTTGCCATGTCTGTATCCTGCCCTTTACTGTAACAAGTCTCTAGATCACGTTTTTAAGCAATCAAACATATTGCATTCGCTCAGTATAGCCTTACCGGTTCGGAAAATATCAGCAAACCTAAAATACACCATCCCGAAAATGCTGATACCCGGAAGTTGGAGTGGCCAATTTAAAGTATGAGTAGCAAACGCACATTCGAGACCCCACAATGAATGGGCACCAAAAACCTTAAGGGATGATTTGATATCCCGTGCCCAATCCGGATAAAAGCCATATGAGCACGTAGTGGAAGTGTGCAAACGTTACAAATCGACCTCAAACTGGCTTACCAGGTTTTGACCATCCCAGTCGTGTTTGGCTTCGTTTCCTGAAATAGTAAAACATCAGATGAAGTCCGCGCAGCAACATGGCCGGTTGGAATATCGCCGAAGTCTTACTACTCTCAGTGACAAAACGCTGTTGTTCCGTCATTTCTGCGTCCCCGTTATCCGCCTTTAAAAGGGTGATGTATGGAGTGTTACACCGGCTGCATTACGTTGTAGGACCCGCAATCATATGGTGACGAGAAAGAGAAAACAAACGTTATTCGCACCAGCTCCTTTGAGATGGTGGTAGGCACATTCCTATTCGATGTACTTATGAGTGGGTGATTTTGGGTATAAGTAGTTGAGATTTCGTCGCACTAGCTTTCAAAGCAAATGATCCTTCACATGCCGAAAAGACAGTAGACCGCAGTTTCAACCTTTTGTGTATCACCAGTAGTGCCATCCATCGGATCAGACAGGATTCGAACCCATGACCACCAGCGGTTTGCACCGCCAGTCAGCTGCATATGCTGCTGGGTCACAGCGGACAACGTCGGACCGTCATGATTTGCAAGCCAACTGTGAAATGATGCGTCTTATCCTCCACTACCCTGTTAGTTACAAACATTACAGAGGACAGTTAGCCCCGAACGTCAATGTCCACTAACAGTAGTTATGTACGACATAGCATTTAGTAACTGTTAGGGCGGATATTTTGAAATCCTCAACAGTAGCGGATTTTGTATGTATTTAGTTGAGAGTTCGTCGTTGGTGCGGCGATGCAAACCACTGGTCTGAAATAAATGAGAATATCCGTAGCTCGGGGTGTGGATGCGGGTTTTGACAATTGGATCACCGATCTCTGGTCTGGTAGCCGAGACAGTGATGCAGGCGCTGGAACAAATAGCACTTCCGATCGCGAGACCAAAACTTTGTACACGATACGTAGACGACACGTTCGTTATCCTCAAACGTGCCAAATTGGAGGAAACACACGAACTAATCGACAGCGTGTTCGATGGCATCCAATTTACCAGGGAGGAGGAGAACAACGAGCAGTTACCATACTTAGACTTTCGCATACGACGGACTGGTGCTGAACGATTGGAAATAACAGTCTACCGAAAATATACTCATACGGACCAGATCCTCAACTACAGCAGCCATCTTCCGGCAGCCCACAAACGCAGTTGCGTGCCAACCCTGAAATGGCAGCGAGGCTTTTATTGCCTTTTGGCGTCAAAGTTGCACACCAGCCAAAGGAAACCATTTGCAGTAAACTCTTCACAGTAAAAGGTAAAGTTAGCAAAGAGGAAGAAACTGGTGTGATTTCTAAGATCTGCTGCCGGAACTGCGACAAATACTACGTGGGACAGACTGGAAGAAAGCTTGGCACAAGGCTACACGAACACAGCCTAGCCATTCGTCGCCACGATCAGAACTCCCTGATGTCAGTGCATATGGATGCTGAGAACCATCAATTCGACGTAGAACATGCCAGTATCCTCAGAAGGGCTGAAAACCGGCAAGCACGTGAGTTCATTTAAGCCTGGCATTTAAAACAGAACTCGATCAATAAGCACTTGGACATTGAAGCCGCTTACGAGGCACTGCGAACCAGGCCCCTGAAGCCGTACTGATGATGTTGCCTAATCAGGCAACAAAACCTCTGCACGATAATCCCTCAGCTCGGAGAACAGGTCAAAACTCACAAACCACTAGTCGTCATGGCTTCGAATCCTGATGGATCTGATGGATGTGTAATACTGATGAACAATGGTTGAACAATGATTTATCACGGGAATATACATGCGCTTGACAAGTCCCGGAGGGTGGGTGGAGCAAAAATTAAAATGTAATGGATCCTCGAAAAAGTAAATTGTTATTTTAAGCTTCCATCGATTTACACGCACTGCTGCATAACGATAGTTTGAACTGGGAATGGGATGTGCACACGCAAAATAATATAGATGGTTGTTATAGTTCAGTAATTGCATGAGAAATAAAAAAAGGAGACGAAAACGTCCACTCATGTGTTACTTCATTTGACAGATGTGGTATGGTTATCCAGTTTAGCTATATCCAGACTACTCACATGGACACTCCTGTATGTATCCTCACCGCCACGTTGCGGAGAGCGCCGTCAAGCACATGGTTAGGTTTGCGTTACTTCGTCCTCCAAGTGCAACGGACTATATCAAGTAATGCAGGTTTGAAAGCGCTTCATCAAGGCGTTTTGTGAAAAGAGATAAGGTAGGGGCAAGGATAACATGAGTCGGAAGAGCATTCCAGGCACTGGACACACGGAGGGAGAAAAGGTTTCGTCGACAATCAAGTCGACTGTAGTGCGTAGCCAGTTTGAGCTGACGGACTCTCAGGTTGGTATTTTGATTCAGCTGCAACAGATTGCGATATGGATGAATTGAGTTCGTCAATATTAAGTAAAGCATGATTAGGTCTCCTGGCTGACGTCGATATTCACCACTGTACACTCTCAGGGACTGTAGTCTGCGTTGGTAGGAGAGAGGAAACAATCCTCTAACGAGTTTGGTCGCTCTACGTTGTGGGGCTTCAAGTGCATCGACGTCGCGCTTGCGCCAGGGAAGCCAGGCCTGGATCGCATATTCCACGTGAGGCCTCACGTAGGCGTTCAGCACTTGCGGAATGATTATGAACAATGAACAATGAACAATGAATTTATACGGGTTAAGAAGCGTTGCTTTACAATTCCCGTTGGATAGTTGGTGGGGATATCAACATAACAATAATGATGATAAGGATAGTAAAATAGTTACTACTTTAAATACGAAAATAAGGACTTATCGTTTGCTTCGCTGCAGTCCTGCGATCCTCTTAGATTCACAACACCCACAGTTAACAACAAATAATTCCATGGTAAACTCCAGGTGTAGGATGGAGACGTAGTGTTAAGTAACAAAGTGTAAGTGGATGAGTGCATCGTCCAACCGTCTTTTAAATACTGTTAGTGTCGGTGCAGAGACGACCGATTCTGGGAGAGCATTCCACGGGTGACAGACACGGATGGAAAAGAAATTTCTGCGGCACTCCAAACGACTGTATTGTTCTACGAGTTTTAATGAGTGGCCCCTCAGGTTTGTATTGCTGCTGAGTTGCAGTAAAGGGCGGCACACATGATGTGGGTCGTGCAGAATCAAGTATGTCATAATCAGGTCGCCTCGTAGTCTGCGATAGCTTCCACTGAACAATCCTAGTCGTCGCAGCCTCTCCTGGTAGGACCGATTGCGCATTCCAATTACGTTCTTAGATGCCCGGCGTTGTGGCTGCTCCAGTGCATTAAGATCGTGTTTCAGCCATGGATGCCAGGCTTGAATTGCATATTCGACATGGGGGCGAACATACTCACTGAGCATTTGTCGAAATATGGAGCTGTTTATTTGTCCAAACGCCCGCTTCAACAGCCCGACGTGTTGGTTCCCGGTCTTCGAGGCCTTTTCGGATTGCCTGGAGCAACCCAAGTCATCTTGAACCAGGACACCCAAGTCACGTTCGAGAGTTGATTGTTGCAGCACATCCGTCCCGAGTCGGAATGAGTAACTGCTTTGATGTCGGATGGAAAGCATCTTGCATTTACTGACGTTGAAATGCAGTAAGTTTTGGGTCGACAATTGATACACTGTATCTAAGTCACTTTGGAGCACTTGTTGGTCGGCGTTCGCCTGGATCCTGCGCCAGATCTGGATATCGTCGGCAAACATTAGGAAGTTTGAAGCGATTCCCTGTGCAAGGTCATTAATAAACACGAAAAACAAACGTGGACCTAGTACTGAGCCTTGCGGCACACCACATTTGACTTGTATGGGGTCCGATAAAGAGCTCCGAACTCTGACCACTAATTGCCGTTGAAATAGAAAGTTGGCGATCCAGCTTAAAAGAGGGTCTCTGATCCCGTAATGCTGCAGCTTTGATAGTAGTATCCGATGGTCTAGACGATCGAAAGCCTTGGAGAAATCCATGTAGATCACATCAACACCTTCTCCAGCGTCGGCTGCCTCGGTCCAACTACTGCGTGCAGTTAGTAAATTCGTTGTACATGACCGCTGTCGACGGAAGCGGTGCTTATGGCTCAAAATGTCCGAAAGCCCTCCGTAAGAGTCCAAGATGTTCACTGGTTCTTCTTGACGCTTTTTCAGTCCGTCTCGAGCAACCAAGGCCGTACTGCACGAACATCTCAACGTGGTTTTCTTGGGAAGCACGTTGTAACTGCTGGTCCCAAAGTCCATATTCATAGAAAAGCTGATGGCGTATGCTTGTGACTTTGCACTTCGCCACGTTGGACTGGATTCGGTTGTCAGATGACCACACATAAGCTCCGTCGATATCGCTCTGCCATGCCATGGGATCATGCGATGTCCTGCTATCATGTCAAATTTTGACATATCTGCAAAAAGTTAGAAGTGCTACTGCAGAGTACTGGCTAGATTGTCAATAGATATCAGGAATAAAAGTGGCTCCAGTGCCGATCCTTGGGACATGCCACACTGGACGTCAATTGGGTCGGAAATGGAGCTGCGGACGCTCATATTCAGCTGACTTTGAGAGAGGAAGTTGCCAATCTAACCGAGTACATGGTCACCGATTGCATAACTTTGAAGCTTGTGAAAGGATATGTGGTGCTCCATGTGATCGAACGCTTTCGATAAGTCCGGGTAGACAACATCGACTCCCACTCTGGAATCGGCTGACTCTGTTCAGCTTGCTCTGGCTAGCAGCAAGTTTGTAGTGCGGGATTGATTCCGCCGGCATCCGTGTTGCTGTGACCTTAGTATGTCGTTGCTCTCAAGATATCTTCTGAGGGCTTCTTCAACTATACTTTCCATTACTTTCGATAAAACTGGGAGGAGAGTGCTTGGACGGTAGTTCGAGGGCTCCGAACGATTACCACTTTTGTAAATAGGAGTGACTCCTCCATGTTTTCACCTTGTCGGAATATGCATTTCGTCGAGACAACGTTGAAAGAACTGAGCTAATGTTTCGAAAAGGTTCATGGTCACTGTCTTCACTGCCTTCGGTTTGATTTCGTCCACGCCATGTGAGCTGTGCACGCGCAATGACATGAGCGTTTTCATCATATAGGCTGCAGTGAACGCTATGTTGTTTAACCCTGGTGGCGATGGAAGCTGTGTCAAAATCAGATCAAATGATGGCTCACTCCGGAAAGTGTGGATGAAGTGTTGGTGAAACACGTTGGCTGCATCTTGTGCATTTTGCGCAAGACCATCTGTTGCGTGCTCGCGCGCTGCATTCTGCGGAGCTTGTTGACGATTTTGTACAGCCACTCGGGATTTGTACTGAATTCCGCCTCTAAGTTCTGTTGGTGCTGGAGTTTGTCTTCGCGGATCAACTTGAAGCAGTGGTTTCGTTGAGTTGTGTAAGCACGCCAGTTCTGATTACTTGGACAGACTTTGGAAGCACGCCAGGCTAAGTCCTTTAAGGCTATGCATTTTCTATTACGACTCCTCAGGAACAAGTTCACTTGCTTCGGGCGAAGGACCTTGCTTTCTGACGCATTTGCCACTAGCTCAGTGAATTGGGTAATGAGCAATATCCAGGCGACATTGGGCGGAATCTCGGACAGGAAGGACCAGTCGGTTTCTTGAAAGAGTTTGGACAGAATATCGTAATGTGAAGGACATAGGTCTCCAAGTTGTTCTCACTGATATACTCCGAGTAACAGATGTAAGGAAAAAGTAAGATCGTGCGATTGCTTTATGGCCAAGTGGTGAATCTATAGTCCCGGTGTCCACCATTAGTTCCGCGTTGGAGAGCACAAGGTCCAAAAAAGGGGGTATGTCACCCGTTCGGAATCGCGTGAGAGGTGACATGGTTGTACAGAAGCACATCCGCGATCACCTCATGCAAATCCTTCTTGAATTGTTCGCTGTGCGATGCTGGAACTATGATTGCGTGCAAGTTGATGTCCCCCACCAGAAGGACGTAAATGTATGGTCGTGCAAGGACTCGTTTCATCGTAGAATCTAGGCATTGATCCATTTCCAAGGTGGACATTGGTGGGCGGTAAACTATTGCCAGTAAACACAGATCACCACATCTTAGGTGCATACGACACCAAAGAGCATCGACGACTCTCGTTTCTAGGTCCTCAATGATATCAACGTGTAGGTCGGATCGATAGTACAGGAGAACTCCCCTTCCTTTGCAAGGTCGATCGTTTTTAATGGAAGTCTTGCCCGGTAGTGCAATGTCAACATTCGTGATCTTCTTGTTCTGCCATGTTTCGGTGACCATAATTAGGTCCCAAGGCCTGGCGACCTGACAAATACGAAGTTCGGTTAGATTGCTGAGAAGACCTTGTGCTTTGGTATACAAGCAGATGAGGACATCGATGGTCAGAAGCGTGTTTGTAAAAGTTGGTTTCCGGTGAGGGTCTATGCCGACCCTTGCAGGGTTCGGCTGCCGGTCGTTGCCTTGTAGGACCGATGACGCAGGTTGTTGTATAGAGTTCCCAGCGCCAACAAAAGGATGACCATCCTGTCCTCTTTCAGCTGCCGGTGTGTTTTGGCATAGTTTCCGTTCTGAGCTACACGGTGACAGAATTGTATTGATAAGTTGCTTGCTCAGTGTTACGTTGTCTATTTGTGGCACGGCGCCCATCGCCTTTATAAGTATTTCAGATGGCAACATTTTACGCTTTTGGCGCAACATTTTGATCACATGTTTTGCCATCAGTTCGAAGTGCAATGATACTTTCATTACTTGGGGACCACACCTTTTGTAGTTAGGTGATAGCGGTAACTTTGATGTCGAATTAGCGATAACATTTTCGTGTGGGAGCACTTCTTAAATATAACGCCGTTCATCCCAGTCATGCGCTTTGGCCTCTGGCTCGCTTATGTCTGGAGCTCCGGGACACCGTGAACAAAGATAGATTTTACGTCTTGTTGTTTACGTAAGTCATCCGGATTTTGCTTACTTTTCTGGCTTTCGCTCCAAGGAAT